TTGTGAAAATTTTTATGCGCTTCCAAAATTTTCTGCAGTTTTCGCCAATGAGAACACTCTCTCCCTCAAGTTTTGGGAGGAGTTCAGCAAGCATAAGCATAATAAAATACAGTTAACAGAAAAATAAGAGGGGTAAGAAACATCGTGGAAAAACAAAACAAAGAAAAAAGTGAAAGTGAGGTAAAAATGAGTGGCAAAAGAATTGAGAAAAAAAAATGAAAAAAAAATGAAATGAGAAAAATAATGCTGGTAAAAACAAGTGTGTAAGACATTGTGCGGTGAGAAAATTAATTGAGAGAAAAATATTAAGGAAGTCTGCCTTAACTCAATTCTCACTTTGTTTTAAAAAAGAGTCTCACTTATGGATACTCTGCTAGCATTAATCTACGAGTGACGTCTTCGAATATGGATTGTAGCAAGAGCATGATTTAGTTTGACTTTGTGCAACTCAAAGCTCCCATAAGTCACTATAGTTAAGGGTTGACAAAGTGTCTGTAAAGCTGTAGGGCTAGTAGCTAGTCCCTTAGTCATAGTCAGGGATAAAACTTTGACGTCGTTCCTGAGACAACATATGAATTCATCATTTGGTTTCTCCTTGAAAATTTGACTTATTCATTTATTATACATGCTAGCTATTGGATTGGAAATTGTTGTTTTTGCTTAGGGACAAGCAAACAGCTAAGTTTGATGGTGTGACAACTCTTGATTTCAAAGGTTAAAAGTAGATTTTATGTATTTGGGGAGGCATACTTGTAATGCCCCAGGCCTAGGATTTGGACAAGGATTTAGAATCCAGATTCGGCACTTGTTTGTCCCAGCATTCTCCTGCATCCCCTGCGACCTGGCCGCACCACCATTTTGTTTTGAGCTAGAAGAGCGTAGACGATCCCTACAGACCAATAGGAGTCTTTTCGACATGCTTTATCCTCACTCACATACTTCCTAGTAAAGCAACTAGCTAGGAAGGCACCCAACCGAAAATTGCTCCAAGTCAAGCACGCTTAACTTTGAGTTCTTATGATTGAGCCACCGAAAAGGAAGGTCCACCTTGTTTGTGTTAGGAACATCTGAATGAGAGGGGATCCTGAGACCATGGAAGCATGGTTAGGAAAAAGGATTTAAAAAATTTATAGTTACTATCTATTCAAACAAGGTGCACCTTCATTTTCGGTGGCTCAATCATCAAAACTCCAGCAATAATCTTCGATTGGGTGACCTCCTAGTTGACAATTTAAGTCTGTTACTTTTATTCTAGCGACTATTTACCTCCTTCAATCTCGATAGAGAAGGTTAAGCAAGGTTAATTTAGACTTCCTTTTTAATCCCATGATCACTTGTTTTAACATTCTTTTACATCAAAGGCAATTAATTTTTTTTCTTTATTCTTATGTTCTGTGCAATTTTATAATGAGCTAAGTTAGTCCTTCAATCCCTATGTGGAAATGTCTTAGCTTATTTATTTTCAAAAGATCTTAAGTGTTGCAATCAAATAGTGACGAGAGCTATTGCTTAAAACTCGCATTGATTTAACTCTTTTAAATTATTTCTTAAAGTTGTCCATTATGTAATTTGTTAGCTTGGCCCTAATATTGGAAAGGTTAGATTTTAATGGATTTCATGGAGTTCACGTGATAACGTAGCTTAGAAATAAGCACCTAAAACTAGACCCTAAGACTTCTTGCGCATAGAACGTAAGGTTTGTTGGTATATCTTACCTGACTTCCCATAGATATATGAGCTAGTAGTTAGCCTAACCTTTGGAACAGCTAAAAGTGGTTTGTGTTAGGAGTAGAACCTAATTTGCGGTATAATAGCTAATTTAGGTGAGCGCTATTTGTAAATATTATGTTTGTCTATTAAAAGCTAAGGTATGAAACAGAGGAGTTGCTTTTAATTGATAGCTTGTTCGTTTTGAAACAAAAAACCTTACCAAATCATCTTTTGTTACCCAAGAAAATTGATTGCTAATGAAAGCTTTTCACAATTCGTTTTACTAGAAGTCGCTTTAGATATGAACTTGGGATACATTTTTCACTGTATTAAATGTGGCAGTACGCGATTGCACGCAACCCCTTATCTATTAAGGTAGAGGGTCAACTTAGGTATTTGAGTTGGAGATCATCCTGGAAGAGCAAAGGAAGAAGGACTAGGCTTCACTTCTCGCCGCACAAGAATAGGGAGCTTCAAGAGTGTAGTCGTAAGTTGGAAGTGTAGAACCAACATCTTCAAGAGTAGGTGGAGAAGTTGGGCCTCGGGGCCCTCTGTGATAGTTCTCCAAACAGTTGAGTCTGCGTTTCTCTTATAGCAACATTGACACTAGAGGAAGAAACGGTGTCCTGAATGATGCCATTCAGCGGAATACTCCAATTGTAATGGGGGTTCTCAGTTTCTCATTTTCTTCCTTGGCTTTTCAGGTGGTGGAAGATCTGTCTTGTAATGGAGGGGGCTATGGCTCTTTCATCCCCTCTATTCACATTCGTTTCATGGCCTTTCGGTTCGGGATACAAGCCTTAGCTAGTTGATGGATGTTCGAACAAGCTTTGTAGTTACCTCTTTTTTTTTTTTTAATTATCTCTTTGCCATGACTTTTTCTTTCCTTTACTGTGAACTATTGGAGAGGCCCGAGTGCTTTTATTGAATGCAGTCTGGCTTTCTTTTTAACGTTGTACTTCTGAATGCATGCACTTGCCGTGTTTGCATGCCTAGTGCCCCTACCTACACGCTCCAATGTGCGTCTGCCTGTTGCATCAGCCCCGTGCGCCATCCAGCACCCATTGTGATGTGCTACTGCAGCCCGGACGCACACCCGTGCGTGCATTTCCCAGCCATGCACATGTCAGCCCTTTGCTGTCGATGTAGAGTTGCTTGCCACCCATTCATTGTCTTTTAAAGAATAAATATTTTCATTATTTACTTTAGAAGACATTATTTTGTCTTAGATTTTATTTGCCTTAAGTTTATTTCAAGATTAGTTTCTTTAGCATTTTAGGAAAGCTACTTTTAATTAGTAACAATCTTTACATATCTTATTTTCTTTACATTTTTAGGTCTATTTTTATTCTGTAAAATGTTTGTAAAAGCTTTTGGCCTTGGCCTATAAATGCCTATAAATACCTAGTGGCCCCCTATTAAGACCCCGATCTGCCGGTGGCACCCCTCTTGTAGTTTGAGAATAGATTTGATTAAGTTGATTTTCAAAATAGAGAGAAGTTTCTCCCGGACTTGCCTTTGTGCAAACCCCAACACCCCTCCCCCCCCAAATAGTGTTATCTTTCGCATGGTTGAATTTAGGTGCATTATTACCGAAGCATGCTTGTTTGGATTGTCAGTAAACTAGTGGAATGTGTTGCCCTCGAGTATAGTGAGTATTCTGTCTGCTCAATGTTTTGACTATAAAGGTAATCAATCTAACTTTTTTCCTTCGGGTTGAAACAACTATACGATTGGATTCAAGTGGTTAGAGACTGAGAAGTCCACACGCTTCGGTTGTCGCATATCAAACGGTCATGTGCGCAAGCAATTCAAGCGACTGCCTTGAAATGATAACAACCTCCTGGCACCGATTCCATTTTAGGGTGAACCTTTTAGCATCCTTCTGCAGGGTTGACCAATAATAACCTTGTTTGATCACCTTTCCGACTAGGGATTCGGCCCTCGAGTAGTTACCACATACACCTTTCATAGATTTCGTTCATGATACAAGCGCTTCGTCAATAACCAGACACCTTAGGAGGAGGAGTAAGTAACTCCATCGGTATAACAGGCCTTCTTGTAGGTTATAGTGCATGACTCGTCTTTGGAGTAATCGAGCTTCTGAGCGATGCTCGGAACTTCATTGTCTTTCAGGAAGCAGACTATTGGGTCCATCCAACTTTCCTCGTCCTTGTTTAATTCAAAGAGTGTATCGCAGTTTGTGTATAGGGTTTCAGCGCCCTACCTGCTAGCTATCCTATGTAAGATCAACTCAGGTGCGCTTGATCTTCGCCTAACTTGTGGTAATCTGGTCGTCGTGGTGGACTTAATATTGGACATGTGTCCCCTTTGGTTTACCCGATAACATAAAAGATCTATGGTAATATTTATTTATACTAGTATGCTACTACGTGTAAATGCAAGAAAAAATATGTTTTAAAGCAAACACCCAACTTTGAAATGGAATTGTAACATCTCAAGCATAGAATATAAATATGGATGGACTAATATAATGTATCTAATTTTTATAATTTAACTTAATAAAAATATTGTTTTTTTTAAACTGTTAATTATATTAGTTTGTTGAACATTTTTAGGACATTAAGTGGTGTGGGCGAATTCGAACTCCTAACCTCTTAGTTAGAGAATTTCATTAAATTATATATAAGTATGATGCACTAGTAGAAATTCGGGCTTCAATGATAGTTAAAAACTGTTATTAACATAATTATAACTGTCATGGATTAAGACATCAAGTAAGAGGAGAACATGGCAATTTTAAAAAATTGTTATTAATACATTTATAACTACAGTTATAATTTGTCACAAATAAATCTTCTATTGTGACATTTTATAAATGATGCGAAATGTTTTTTAACGACGGTTTATAATTGTCATGAAATTGTTTTTAACGACAGTTCAAAATTGACATGAAATATTTTTTAACGACTGTTGATAAAGGTCAAGAAAGACGTAACAATGATTATTTATAATTGTCATGAAAACTTTTATAGTGATAGTTTTAACGATCAATATTGGTAGTTTTAACTGCCATGAAAATCTTTATATTGACAATTTTTAATTGTCATGAATACCTTTATATTGACAATTTTAACTATCACGAAAATCTTACAATTTGTATTTGATAAAGGTTTGTAATGTCAATAAAAGTTTATATATAACAATTTCATGACTGTCATGAAATTGTTATATATAAACTTTTATTGACATTACAAACTTTTATCAAATACAATGTCATGAAATAAATTTAATAATATTGTACACATTTCAAAGAAATTCTCTATATCTGTAAATTATAAAATGTAACAAAGTTTCATATAATAAGATCAAAGTCTTCATATACATATACAAAATTAAGTAGGATCAAATTTGTACATTATGATATTTTATACAAATACTATATACAAGTCTATAACTATAATAAGATAATGGAACATATGTTTCAGACTGACACAACAAACTATATTCACATTACACATTACATCAACCTCATACATGTCGAAAGTACACCAAAACTCTTCCCTATACATTCTCCTTTCTCAAAATGTTGCTCCCACAAGCTATTCCTTCAACCAAATAAAACAAACAATTAAGAAAATATTAACATTAACTCCCACATTTCTTTCTAATTAACTCTAACATGCATTACATTGGTGAAATAGGTAGTCACACAACTTTTCTAAAAATCATTACGATGAATCAATGATATAGATAAAATAACCGACAACTGTATAGATATATGAATGTGAAATACTCACTACAACAAATATTAATACTAGACAAATATCAAATATCAGCCTACAATATATAAAATTGGAAGGGGTCATAAATCAAACAAATGAAAAATAAAAACACTGAAAATCAACAAAGCATTGGAAAAAAAAAAAGATAGAACATCCTTTAACTATCCCACCATTGTCAAGCCTGACAACTTAAAATATAGTGCTACATGGATGATATAGGTATCTTTCAAGGGAGAACATCCATTAACTATCCCATCATTAATGCTTCAAGAGAGATCAACCTCTAGTTTGAACTTATTCCATTCCCTCTAGTTTGAACCCATGGCTCTAACTTCACTTTTATTATTTCTTAGTTCTGCATTTTTATGTTCTTTCAGGACATCAGTTTGCACAATACAATCAAAACAACCAAATTGTTTGTCCGTAGTTGAATCCCAATGTAGAAAAACAGCAAGAATTATACTCATAATCAATTTGGAAGATAAATCAAATTCTCTCCAAAAGGCCGCACGTGTAACTTCATGAAAAGATATTTGATAATCTAAAAATCTAAAAATATAAATTGTCGTCTCAAAGCTTAATCCAAAAAAATGGGCAATAAACACTTTAAATAAGTGAAAACCCCCGTTACATAAAACCTGTTAGCATTTAATACATACATTGTCATGTAAATCCTTGCAGCTAAAACAGTAATTCCACGAAAAGCAACTACCAATTTATTTTGATCTGTCAAAATAGCCTTTAAACCTCCTAAAAATATATATATATATAATCTATAAAAGATATGAGATTTCAAGACTCGAATATTTCTTATCAAAATATCACTTCTTCTTTCTTTCAATCCTCTATTGGCTTTGATCTGCAAGAGAAATAGAATGATGCAATTGAATAAGGTATTGAAGATTAAATGAAAATTTAAAAAATGAAAAAGTAAAATTCTACGGATGATAGGTTAAAAGCATTAAGCAATTAATACAATGCACTAATTATGGGCATTTTCCAAGTAAATCAGCAAAAGAATGGGTCAATTACATACCCATAACCCAGTAAAAGAATCAGAAAAAGTTACTCAAGTTAACTAAAAACATTGAGTTAAGAATTTACCTTATTTTTTCTTCTGGAAATTAGGAATAATCTCTATAGAACAGTTTTCCTTGAAAGAAGTCATAACAAATATTATAATCCCATACTGCAACATAAAATAGTTATTCGTGCACGTTTAGATTCATAAATGACAAATTTCTTAAGACGATGAAGTAAAAAGAGGAAGGATGACGGATGACGTAGGGAGGAACATTCAAGTAAATGAATAGGATATTGATTTTTTGTTTTTTTAGTTGCATATCAATCTAGAAAAACTTCATTCAAGTAAATGAAAACCCAGGCAGGACATTGTTACATCACCCGTTGGTACAATGGAACATCTAACACAATGTAGTATAATATAGAAATAGGCAAATATGCACAAAAGTGGAGAACTTAAAACTTTCAAATCTCTAACAGTTTACTTCCTTTTTTTTACTCATTGTGAAGGTTAACACAGTAGAAAAAAATTATATTTCAAACGTTTAAGTAAACTTCATAAAAAAAACAACAAACACATTTTAAAGCTAATTTCAACACTGTCAGCAAACACATTTTCGAAAATCATATGCTTGTGATAACAATTTATAAGAATGTGAGACACTTATCTATAAGAAACTACATCTAGACAAATATTTGGATATCATAGACACAAATTTTTTGTTCAATCAAGAAAGAATTTTACATCCATTTTAGGTCATCCATTATGTAATCAGTTTTAACAATTAAAAAATATAAACAGAGGATAAGCAAACCTTATTTCTAGAATCGACACACTTTCATAGAGTTTATTTAGTGCCTCAACAGAGAGCTAAAAATCACAATAAGCACCTAAGATCTTTGTATTTCCCTCAAATCACTCACACAAAACTCTTCTTTCACAAAAACAAAGAAACAAAAAGACAACACCAAACAGTTTTTTAGATTCTCCAAATACTAAAGACTTTACCCAAATAAAACTGATTTATGAACAATACAGATGTTGAACAATAACAAACAAAAACAATCTACCTATCCAAATCTTAATTGGTTATCTTTGCTACAGGATAGCCACACAATTATCCAACTAGACTTTCAACTATGTGCATGACACAAATATAAACACTATGTCTTAATTGGTTATCTTTGCTACAGGATAGCCGCACAATTATCCAACTAGATCTTAAACTATATGCATGCCACAAATATAAACATTAAATCTTAATTGGCTATCTTTGCTGCAGGATAGCCACACAATTATCCAACTAAACTTTAAACTACACAATTTTCCAACTAGACTTTATACTATATATGCATGACACATATAAGCATTAAGTCTTAATTGGCTACTTGCACAATCTTAAATAAGCAGGTCAAGCCTAAAATCAAGGCACAATATTCAGAAAAGATACCATAGAAACAGCTGGAACGAGAGAGAAAGACAGCCACAAACAAAATATGAACACACGAACCGAAACAACATAGCTTTAACAAACACAAACAGAAACATTATCTAACACATTTCTCATTTCTCACTGCAAGAACATGCTTTCACTATTAGTAAAAGTAATGAAAGGAAAGAATATGATTATTGAGGGAGATAATGATGGCATTACCACAGTACTTTAGGACTTTGAATCAATTTTGAAACAAAAATCAAAACCTAATTGACGAGTTATTATAGGTCCCTAGTTTGGATCAAAAATCATGCTCAAGAGTTGAAATGCAATCATCACAAAACATAAAGAAATATATTGACACCATATGTAAAAATACATCTAACTTTAATGCATTATTTTAGAGTCTTTTGCACCACTAGATAACTGTGCTCTAATTAACCTTTCAGATAAGTCGACGAGGGAAATGAGAGGAACAGATAACCAAAACAAATCAATTAAAGAAACACACTTCCATGAGCTAAATTTCATTAATGAAACAGTGACTAGGATCAAATTAATGAGCTAGGATACCACAGCGCCAAATGAAATTATCGAAAGGAGATGTACTGCTACTTTTACGCCATATATGCAATTCGTATCAGCTTTTAAAAGCAAAGAAAATCAAATCAACTCATGCGCATTCCAATTTTCATCCCAATTCCTCGACTATTCTCAAATAAATCAATTCTAGTAAATCCACATCCAACATAATTTAGGCACAGGAAAATCAATTGCTAGAAACGACTCATACGGGTCAAAAAACTTCAAATACAAACACCCAAAAAAATGTTCATGTGAGTTGGGTAATTCTTGTAGTGAAAAATTTTCGTCCAAAAAATAATATAGCAACTGATTTGCCATGAATTCCCAAAACGAAGATAGGGTTGAGTGCCAAATTACCGTAAATAAATCGTAAATCAAATGAGAAAACCTAAAACAGAACAAACCGAACCTGATTTCCATGAAGAGGGGATGGGCGACAGCGGCGGGACTGGGCGACGGTGTTGGCACTACTTCAAAAGAGAAGGAGAGGAGAGGAAGAGACTTTGAATGAGAGAGAAGACAAACGGGATTAGGTATTTTAAATCTCTCCTCCTGACATTTTATTAATAGGTGGGATGCAATTTATTTATTACTTTAAAAAAATTGTAAAATCCTTTAGATTGGTTATTATTTTAAAAAAAAACCAAGAAATTTAAAGACTTTTTAATTTAAAGACAAAAGTATACTTTTATAAATAACCTATCTCCTGACTCTTATATGCAACCATCGGCTACATTCACTTTTCTCTATTATTTTTTCTGAATAGTCGGGAGTCGTAATATTTAAAAAAATTAAAACAATATTGTCCGAAAATTATTAAAATAATTGGAAAAATCTACTTTTCCTGACTCTTTAGTCGGAAGGTGTAATATTTAAAAAAATATTACCGACGCTATTTTAGAATGGTCGGGAATATTAATATCTCCTAACTATTTCGAAAATAGCCGGGAATTGTAATATTTGAAAAAAAATTAAAAACAATAATGCCAAACAATTTATTAAAATATTGGTGTAAAGTCCACTATTCGACTTTTTTCTAAAAATAGTCGAGAGTGGTAATTTAAAAAAATTAAGAACAAATTTTGTCCGACTATATAATAAAATAGTTAGGAATATAAATCTCTCCCGACTATTTCAAAAACTGTCGGGAGTGGTAATATATAAAAACAAAATTTTACCCAACTATTAGGCAAAAGCATTGGTAAGAGTAACTTCACACAGCGTCGAGAATGTATTCCTTTCTTGATTATTTTAGTCCATAGTTGGCAAAGTCCCAACTATTATTCTTTAGTCTGGAAAAATATGTTTGCCCGGCGTCGAGAATAAAAGTGTCAGAAAAACTCATAATTCTTGTAGTGTCGGCGATCGATTATGTGAATTTGCATCATCTAGGTAACAGATCTTGAACGACGGCGCAAGGAAGTTGAAGGATGATGCTGAAGGCAAAAGAGTGCGAGGAAGATGATGAACTTTAGGTTTTTTGAAAAGAACATCGGAAACAAATGATGAAGAAAGCAGTTCGCAAAAGGGCGGGGTTTGATTTAATTTATTTTAATTTTATTTACCGAATGAAAAAATGATTACTATATTAATATTATACATTAACATTTCATAAAATCAGCTTATTTTGTTGGTGTTAGTGTGTCCATAAGTCTCATAAGTATTGAGTTCAATACACACAAGAAACTATAAATATGTTATCATTTATATATTTTAATTTTTTTTATAAAAAGATATATCTATTAAGTTTTTATTTTTCATTTTATTTAGAAAAATTATGACTCGTTTATGTTCTCCTTCAAAAAGTCCCTATTAATATTATTAAAAAATTTGGGCAAAAATCTAATGAAAAAAAATTTCAAAACTACGATTTAATTAAAAATTTTCTATCTAAAATTCAAAATTTTATGTTATAAAAAATTTAAAGGTTCATGAATCTAACTAGTTCCAATTTAAACTCAAATTAATTCCTAACCATTCGATTAAGTTGACTACCTTTCATTCCAATAAAAAAAATCAGAATATAATTTAAATATGATATTTTATTTACGGAATGCTGGCTGAAACTAGAATAATTAACTTATATTATTTTATGTTTATCATCACATTTTAATTTTCATGACGAGTTAAATTTATGCAAGGAAATGTGGATACGAAATAAATATATATTATTTATTTTAAATGGAAAATATAATAAAATTAATTTTTTTATTGTAAAAAGTGATTTTTTTGTAAAAATATAATAATATAGGATTGAAAAAATAATTGAAATTTACTGGGCTCAAACTCGGGACCGAAGAGGAAGGCACAATTATGCAAGGTAAGCAGACCACCATACCAAATACCATTTTCTACTTATTTTATGGAGTATTTGGGGAAATTATTAATCATAAATCTATACTTGATACAACCGGAGAATCCCGAAATAATTAATATCATCCATAAAACTACAGTTTTTCCAACTGAAATGAAACGTTCTCAAAATCATTTGTGACACTTTTTGTATGTCATAGATTCACAAGATTGTCTAGGCAACTGTCACGAGATACTTGAATTTCCTTTTTTTTTATTTTTCTTGACAATTATAAAATATCATAAAACATGGAAATTTTTGTAGATCACCGTTTTTTCCACCAAAATCGCACCTCCACCATTTCGTGACAGTTTTCACTGTCATTGAAAATTCAGTTTCTGATAGTTTTTAACTGGGATAAAACTAACAAAATCCGAAAAGTTGTGTTTTCCCGCAAAAAACGTGCCCCATAATTTATGACAGTTTTTTTTCCTCTAGATTTTTTTGTTGTTCACCGCTGTCATGGAAGACCATTTTTCTAGTAGCGATGGTAAGTAGAAATTATGATAAGGGTTTGATATTTAGCATTTGTTAGAAGGCGGACGATAGAGCTACTATACTATGATCTAAACTTTAGCATTAGTTGCTATGCAATTAATTATATTGGCCTATTGATCAAACTTAAGCAAACCATTTAAATATATGTATGCTTAATATATCTAATAGTAGATATAATTTTTTACAATTTTTAGTGTATATTTGACATTTTAATCAGGTTATGTTTAAATAAATTATATAAAGAAAATAAAGAAAATAGACAATCACATTGAATAACATTTTTATTAAATGAATAGAATTTAATGATAATTTTGTAATTAAAGCCATGATTACAAAATCTAATAAGCCATAATTTTGTAATTAAAGCAATGTAATTAAGTATCCATAATCCCATTGCTCGTCACTGTTACCCACTTGTGTTCACTGTTATGACAAAAACAATAACAAAAATGTATTATAAAAACCTAGAATAAAAAACATGGAACCAAGGAAATGAAGAGGATTCTTTGCCGGGGAGGGTACCTAAAATAGAGATACTCACGTTGACCCCACTTCAGACTATTATCTATTTTCTTCTTTTCATTCATCAATTACATTATTTTTTTTTCGCAATCAACCTCTCTAGTGTCTACAATTTTTTGTTGCAACTTCTCTCACCTACTACAAAATTGGATTTAGAGAGTTTAAGTATATGCTTTTTATTTATATATTTTAGGTGAAATTTTAATAATTATCTATTTTAGTATAATAATAAAGACACGGTAACGGTTTATATATTTAATTGTAAATATAATTAATTGGTCAGTTACCAACCATTTTAGTCTAATAATAAAGACAATAATAAGTATATATAATTGTAAAGATAATTAATTGGTTAATTACCAAAAAAAAAAAAAGTTTTAAGTTATCATATTAAAACAACGTAATTGTTGCAGGAAGATGACCCAAATTGCATACGTGTGCAATTCCCTAATGGAAACTAATATTATATTTTAAAATTAGTTTTGGTTTCTTTGTTCATAATTAATCAAAAATCAAAGGAGTATTAGAGTCTAAAAATGTTTTTCAAATATCCTGTCTTTTAAAATAGAAGTATAGATATCCATGCATCAATTTGTTTATTGGATTAAAGGGAATTGCCTCCATAAATTATCAAGTTTGACGTATCTTTTATTTCTAGTAATTAATACAATTGCAGGTCTAAATATGTACAAATCAATCAATTAAGGAAAAGCGTGACCATAAATGGCTTGTGCATGGAAAGTAAATAATATTGGTGAATTATGTATTTGCAATATGCATTTGTATATATATTTGTGTACGGAAATATTGCTGCAAACAGTGAATTTTCAGAGGCTAAAATCACATTGGGAGGAAAACAAAGTGTCTGAAATGATGAATGTGAAGAAGTTTCTCTGGATCTCTCTCGTTGCCATGGCCATGCTTTCTCTCTTAGTTTCTTCTCGTACGATACTCTCTCTTTGTTTGTTTTTCTTTCTTGTTTGAGTAAATTAGGGTCTATTTGATAATGTTCCTGTTTCGTGTTCTTGTTTCTCTTTTTTTGAGAACACAGACATATTTGATAACTTATCTCGTTTCTTGTTTCTGAATTTTGAGAAAGGTTTCTATAAAAGACGTCAAATTTTGAAAACTACATCAAACTAGTTTCTTTTCTGCCATTAATGTTTTTTTTTTCATTTTTCTTTTTTGTGTCCAGGGCTATAGTCTAAAAATATTATATAGTGTGACTATAATTCCAATAGATTTTGATTTGTTGGTACAAGTGTGAAGTTGCATTTTTTTTTCTTCCCTAGTCCAGGTTCGGCTCTGGGTAAAATTCTAATTTTTTTAGTTTTTTTATTTTTTAAATTAAAAACTATTCTTTATTTACAGCTATTATATTTTTTTAAAATAAAAGATATATTTTCTATTTTTAAATTAAAAATATTTGAAAATTATTATATATTTAAAGCTAATAACTTTTACTTTTATATCAAACAAATTTATATTGTAAATAGTATTTTCTTTAATAAATTATATTTTTTTCGAGTAGATGGTATATCTTTTTATATTATATCTACTAAATTCTATTTTAACTAAAAAAATTATTAAGTCTAAATTAAGACATATATTCCCGATCAAGAAGTTGTGGGTTCAAATCTTCATTCCCACAAATTTTTATACTAAAAAAAATAAAAATATACAAAAAAAAAATAGGAAATGGTTATCAAAACATATTTTTGTTTTCATTTCTTTTTTTCAAGAAACAAGAAATATAAATGAAAATGAAAGGTATTAACTGTTTCTAGTTCCAAACAAAGTAGAAACAAGAAACAGAAAACAAGAAACGAAAAATGTTCCGAATATGGTTGAGATCTTTGAGGCTAAATTTTGTTTTGATTTAATGTAGACGTGGAAGTGAAGGAGGGAGTGAATCCATTTTGCTATGCACTTTGCCCAAACATTGGCATGGCTGCGAATATTGAATGCAAATCACTATGCATTGGAAGCTGGAATTTCAAAAGTGGAGCATGCAGCACGAAGCAATTAGGTGGTTCCACAAATATCTTGTGTTGTTGTAGCAATTAAGATTGCAACAATACTTCCCTACGATGATCCGACTACCCACCACTAAGTTTTTGATACGTGTGATAGAAATGTAGAAAGAGAGATAAGCGAGACTTTTT